TGTCCCCGCTGTCGCCCTTCCTGGCCTACTTCGTGCCCTTCGTGGCCCTGCTGCCGTTCTCTCTCGCTCTCGCTTTCGCTCGTCGTCGCCGTCGTCGTCGTCGTCGTCGCCGTCGTCTTCGACGTCGTCGTCGTCGTCGTCGTCGTGGTCGGTCCCCTGTCCGTCCCTCTTGGGGTCGGGTCGACGGTCCGCGGCCGCCCCGCCGATCAGCGCTGCCGCTGGCCAGGCCTGCAGGGAAGAAAAATATACCCCCCAAAAAGGGTTCGATCGAAGACGAAGAAAGCGGGTATCGAGGGTTTGGGAAATACGCGTTATTGGACACTCGAGCATAAGGCGAACAGTCTTAAACTTATTGTTGTTGTTGTTCTTGTTGTTGTTGCTGTTGTTGTGTTTTTCCTTTCTCAAGCCTTTTTGGTCGCAGCAGCGGCGAGGATCCTCACCGCGTTCGAAGGCAGCCGCGGGATGCAACGGGGCCGAAGTGGGCACGACAGGCGAGGGAGAGGAGCGCGTTCACAGCGTGAGGTTCTTGAACATGTGTGCCGGGCTTTCAGAGCAGCGAACACATGTTCGAACATGATTTTTCGGAGGTCCCCGCGGCCCTTGGTGCCTGGAGCGCACCAGGGACGGCGCCGGAGGCGCCGCCGGGGGGCCCAGCGCAGATCCAAGAAATCCGCAGGCGCCTTCGAAACTTTATCTTCGTGCAATTGCAGCCGACACCTCCACTTGGAGGCAGCGGGGGAATCTGAGCTGGTTGGGGCCTGAGGTCAAGAAGGGGAGGGTAAAGCCAAATCCGCTCAAAATCAGTCCCTGGACCCTTTCCAGGGTCCATCCAATGCTGTTTTTCGCCCTGGATCCGCTTGTCACGGTCCTGGGGCCCGAAAGCGGCCACCGAAGGCCGAACAAAATCATAACGCCTTGCCGAACCCAGAACCTCAAACCTGCCCGACCTTCCTGCTGGGCAGAACCAGTGCTGGGCCACCTTAGATTCCCAGACGGCTCCAAACCTCCGACACCCTGCTGGTCATCACACGAGGCGAACGCCATTGTAGGGGCCCTGGGACACACAAATAAATATACACTAATAACAAGATCCCCCATATTTTCACATATTTTCTAGGTTTTTGTCTTCCCGCCACTTCCCATATTTTCTTATATTTTCTGGGGAATCATCGATTCATTGTGTCTGTGTGTGTTTTTTCCCTCCTGAGCCATGCTCGCCTCGCGCGGTTTGGGCGTGCGGCGGCAGCCCCGCGTCTTCCGCTCTCGGGCACGCGCGCCGCGCGCCGTGCTCGCGCCGCGCGGAGCGGCGGCGGGGCGCCCGGGAGGTTTTCAACCGTCGAGCGCTGATTTGTGTCGACGCTGGCTCCGATGTGATGCGAGGAGGGCGAGGCGGAGTCCGCGTGGCCTTGGCGCTAACCTGGATTAGGGGTCGGATCGGTAGCGAAACCAGAAACCCTGCGACAGGCCAGCCTGGCAAATGGCACACGCCGGGGCATTGGATGGAGGCAGGACGTGGCAGATCGGCAGGGGTGCGCCGCTGCTGCTCGGATGCAGACTGCGGCCTTCACCCCACGACGTGTCCTCTGATCTTGTCACCTCCGTGGCGGGTCACTGGAGCAAGCCTGGCATACCTCGCCAACCGGGGCGCGCGGCCGCCGGGACCGCGGGGGGGGCGAGGGGGGGCATGGCGCGCTTGTGACCCAAGAGGTAAAACACTCTCGTAGGGGGGGGGGGTCGTTTTTTTTGTTGTTTCCTCTTCTTTTTTTTTTCTCCAGGGGGGGTTCGGAATATGCGGGGCCACCTGTAACGCTTGGGCTGCCTGCCCTGATGGCTGCTCATCCCCGTCCTCCTGCTCCGACCCGTAGTCGGGCTCGTGCCTCGTATCCTTCCCCCTCACTCGTATGCAACCCCGCTCTGCCACCTAACAAACCGATAGCCTCCCCATCTAGTCCCTCCATCCGGTCCATGAGAAGCAATACCCCGTAAACCTGGACGTTCTGTTGTCGACGTTGCAAGGTGTCGGGCAAGAATGGGGCGGGCGCACATCGCGCGCGCACAGTCGAAATGTCTTTCTCGCCCCAGCGCTGCGCAGATCTGTCTGGGGCCCAATGCTGAGTTCGTGCCCACCTGGTTGTCGGAAGCGGAGCCGCGCGCGAGCGGGCGCAGCGTCGTTCTCGCCCGACTGCGGCGCAGGCTTCCCAGGATGTGGCGCTCCCGCTCGGGTGCGGTGCATACCTTGTCTTCGCCAGCCCAGTCGGGAAGTTGGCTGCGCGCCAGGGCTCGAGTTAAACAGTGTTTTCCGTTTTCGTTTTGTTTCCGTCATCCCTAGTTCTGTCTTCGTTCCACATTTGCTGCAAAAGAAAGTCAAAACGAAAACGGTCCACGAAATTGCCAAAACACCGTTTAGCTCGAGTCCTGCTGCGCGCGAGAGGACTTCCTGGTGTGCTCGCCGAACCTCCGAGGCGGACTCTCTGAGAGTCCCCCCGCCGCCTGTGCGCGGCCCGCATGTCTCCCTCGCCAGGTCGCCGAGCGCGTGGGCGACCTCCGTTCGCCAAGTGCGCTGCGCACGGCAATCCCAAGATCCAGCTGCGTCGGCATTGCCTCTTATGTCATGGCATGGAATGCGGGATTGCGCGGGTCCATTTGGGTCGTGAGAACTGGCTAGCTTGACTCGTCTTGATTGCTGGGCTGATCGGTTGATATCTCTCTATCTATAATGTATATATAGGTCGGTAGATATCCGCCGCTGCGCCCTTGAAGTACGAATTGGAGTGCTCTCAGGTCACTTGCTCGATCTCCTGGAGCCTCAACCCTCAATCCTGAGGATTCCTTGACGGGCCCAGACCCCAATGGTCAAATCTCTATGGGCTCTCCGCGTGCTACCTGGGACTCCCAGCGTCTTCCCGTCTAACTTTTTCGGGCCCAACCCAAGACGGCCCAAGAGGGCCCCGGGTCGCGAAAGATCGCTCCAATACGCCCAAACTGGCCTCAAGGTGGCCCAACCCCAAAGGCGCCGCAAGAGGCCTCCCAAGAGGCCTCCCAGGAAGCTCCAAGAGGCCCCCAAGAGGCTCCCAAGAGGCCGCCAAACTGCACCCAAACTGCACCCAAGAGGCCCCTCAGAACGCTCCGAATAGATCCCAAGAAACATCCCTGAGGGTTCTGACCCAAAGCCCAGACACGGTGGCAGGATGGGCCAAAGGTCATTCGAGACATACATACATACATACATACATACATACATGCATGCATGCATGCATGCATGCATGCATACATACATACATACATACAGACATACACACATACATACATACATACATAGATACATACATACATACATCCATACACACACATACATACACACATACATACATGCATGCATGCATACATATATACATACATACATACATACATACATACAGACAGACAGACAGACAGACATACAGACATACATACATACATACATACATACACACATACATACATACACACACATACATACATACATACTTACACACATACATACATACATACACGCATACATACATACATACATACACACATACATACATACATACATCCATACATACATACATACATACATACAAACTTACACACACATACATACATACATACATACATACATACATACATACATACATGCACACATACATACATACATACATACATACATACACACATACAATCACACATACACATATATGCACATACATGTATATATATGTATATAAATATATGTATAAATATGTATACACATGTGCACACGTATACAAATATGTCTGCGTGCGCATCCCCCTATGCTAGCTACATGCATGTATCCACATCTGTAGATATGAATATGCATATATACACATATATGTGTGTATGTATACACGTGTGTGCTTATATATGTATATATATACACACGTGTATGCCGGTGTGTGTACACAATGTACGTAAATATACACATTCACGTACACTTATATACACACCTATCTACACAATTATATTTGTATACGTGGACATACACAAATGAATGCATAATGCAACTCGTGTGTATACATACACACTCCCACACTTCTGCCAAGCCGGCCGATAACCGGCCAACCTGGGCTCATCCATCCGATCTGTTCCTCACTGTAAAATCGATGTTCCTCTCGACATTGATGTTTTGGAGTGCCCATTGAAAGATGCGCGGCAGCAGTGCGGCGGGTTGCACATCACGCGCGAAATTGTAATATGTCGCTATCATGAAGGCGCCGCGCTCATTTTTGTTGAACTTTGATATCCGGCTTGGGCGCTGCGTCTATTTTTCGCTCACACAATGTCTACGGGCGGGTGAACAAAAACTTCATTCTGACATATAAGCCGTGCACATTTCGGCTGGAAGTGGCTCTCCCGTCTCGGCGCGGCTCACATTTTTCACGCGCCAATGTCACAAGCGCTCCTATTCATGCTACTAACATGTAGTCCATCCTCCTGCTCCTGCTACAGCTTCTGCCAAGACGCTGCTGGCGGTCATGCGCACTGCGTGATACTATGCGGACTGGGTGGCGCTGGCGCCAGTAACCATGCTGTACATGACCCTATTACAGCTGCTGTTGCTGCGTTTGCTCCTGCTCCTGCTCCTTCCCCTTCCCCTCCTCTTCCTCCTCCCCCTCCTTCTCTATTCCTTCTCCGCTCCACCCGCCTCTCCCGTCTCTCCTGAAGGGGCCCAGGGACACACAAATACATACACACAAATCCCAGGATCCCCGATCTTTTCTCGTGTCTTCTCGATCCCTGCCTTCCCCTTCTTTTTCCTATCTTTTCTTGGAAGTCGACACTTCGTCGCGCCTGTGCGCTTTTCTCCCTCCCACCCCCCCTGCCTCCCAGATCCTGCTCCTCCCAGCCCCGAATAGGGGGCCACATGCGAACCGTACCCCTACCCCCCACGATTTCTGAAGGGGAGGGTGTGGGAAGGGTTCGCATGTGGCCCCCTACCGAAGGGGCAGCAGCGGGTCCTGCACCAGCGGCTTGGCGACGGCGGGGGCCACCAGCCTGCCCACCCCGTCCACGGAGGACGCGGGGGACATTTACGATGCACGACAGGGGTGAAAAGGGCCAGTCGGGATACGCAAATGAATAGACACACCTCCCAAGCTGGCCAAAACGGTTCCATGTTTTCTGGATGTTCGCCTTCCCCTCCACCTCGCATGTGTTCCAGTCATTCGTGGGAATCATCGTTTATTTGTGTCTGTGCCTATTTTACCTCCGGCAGGGAGGAGCCCTTCGGCTGCCATTAACGCGTTCGGCGAGGAGATCGAGCGTCCGGCAGAGGCAGAGCGACAGGTCGATGCTGCCGCGCGCGAGGCGAATCCCGCCCGTGCTGGTGCGGCTCCCCTGGCGGATCCTGGTTCGTATGTGGGCCCCAAGAGTGTGTACACCACCACCGCGTCGATTCCTCCGCCCTCCTCTACCCTCTTTTCCTCGCCTCTTTCCTGGGAGTGGGAGTGGGTGAGGGAAGTGGTGGTGGTGTAAATGTGTGGGCCCCGAAGGTTCCCCGTGTGCCCCCACAATGATCTCCAGGCTCGCGTCCGGCCCGTGTGCGTGCTCGTCTGGGCCGTCCGGCCCATGTGCGTTCGTCTGGGCTGGCTGGCCGAAGGAGGGTGGTGACGGGCCCCACCTGCGACGGGGGACTCTTTGGCGAGCGGCCTCCTGTGGGAATGCCTGGTCATTCTCCGCACTATGCTGGCCTGACTCTGCCTCCTCCTCCTCCTCCTCCTCCTCGTCCTCGTCCTCGTCCTCCTCCTCCTCCTCAACTTCCTCTCCCCCCCCTCCTCCCCCTCCCAGTGAACCACAAAACCGAACCGCGAACCGCAGAACCGAATCGACCGAGGGAGAACCGACGGAACCGGAACCCGTCAGAAACCCGACGTGAATCGAACCGGGAACCGGTCGTGGAGGTGGACCTTTGGGAACTGCCCGATGAGAGCGCCCACTCTTGCGCTGGGTCCATCTCACCCGCTCCCAGCTCCCCCCTTGCGCCCCCGAGCTCCCTCATCCTGTTTTGCTGCTTGTCCAGGGCCGAGCTGGGGACGGAAGGGCGGCGGAAAAACTCAAATCGCATTTTTGGGAGGTTCGAAAATGCGCTTTGGGCCTCCAAATGTTTTTCGGAGCCTCCACGGCTGCTCCGGGGATGGCAGGGCGGCGGAAAAAGCTTAAATCGCATTTTTGGACGGTTCGAACATGCGTTTTGGGCCTCCAGGTGGTCTTCGGGGCCTCCAGGGCTGCGCTGGGGACGGAAGGACGGCGGAAAAACTCAAATCGCATATTTGGACGGTTCGAAAATGCGCTTTGGGCCTCCAGGTGGTTTTCGGGGCCTCCAGGGCTGCACTGAGGACGGAAGGGCGGCGGAAAAACTCAAATCGCATATTTGGACGGTTCGAAAATGCGCTTTGGGCCTCCAGGTGGTTTTCGGGGCCTCCAGGGCTGCACTGGGGACGGAAGGGCGGCGGAAAAACTCAAATCGCATTCTTGGACGGTTCGAAAATGCGCTTTGGGCCTCCAGGTGGTCTTCGGGGCCTCCAGGGCTGCACTGAGGACGGAAGGACGGCTGAAAAACTCAAATCGCATTTTTGGACGGTTCGAAAATGCGCTTTGGGCCTCCAGGTGGTTTTCGGGGCCTCCAGGGCTGCACTGAGGACGGAAGGACGGCTGAAAAACTCAAATCGCATATTTGGACGGTTCGAAAATGCGCTTTGGGCCTCCAGGTGGTTTTCGGGGCCTCCAGGGCTGCGCTGGGGACGGAAGGGCGGCGGAAAAACTCAAATCGCATTCTTGGACGGTTCGAAGATGCGCTTTGGGCCTCCAGGTGGTCTTCGGGGCCTCCAGGGCTGCACTGAGGACGGAAGGGCGGCGGAAAAACTCAAATCGCATATTTGGACGGTTCGAGAATGCGCTCTGGGCCTCCAGGGGCCCTCGGGGCCTCCAGGGCCGAGCGGGGGACGGCGGCCGGGGGCTGGGCCCCCGCCATCCTGCGCGCGCCCGGCGAGGGCGCGGGCGGCGCCCTTGCCTTCCCAGTTGTCCTTTTGACTACCTACCAGACCACCCCAACCCAACCCGAAGACCCGAATTTCGGGTTGGGGGGGGTATGGGCTCCATATGTGGTTTTTCGATCTTCCCGGACCCCCCCCCACTAGAAATCGAGGGTAAATCTGAGCCTTCGGGTTGGGTTGGGGTGGTTTGGTGGGTGGTGACCTTTGGGATGACCCAAGCCAGGAGTGAGTGGTCCGTACTGTCCCAGCCCGTAGTCCAAGCGTTTCCTATCCTGGCGCAGGGGGCACGATGCTGTCGACTGGTCCGCCGAGGGCACCATGCGTGAATGTCTGGGCCCAGTGGCTCCCCTGGCTCGTCGGGTAGCTGGGCCCAGTGGCTCCCCTGCCCCAAGGTTCCTCCTGACTCCTGGTTGAACTGAACCTCGAAACGCCTCCATCTCATCATTTAGACGCACACGCGCACACGCCATCTGCAAAAACCGAGAACCGAACCGGAACCGGCTGAAACGGAACCGCCCTCTGAATGGGAACCGCCTCAAACAACTCCGAAGCCGGAACCGTACTGAACCGAACCAATTTCCTTCGAACCGAAACGAACCGAACGGAACCGGGGACACGCTGCCCTCCTCCTCCTCCTCCTCCTCCTCCTCCTCCTCTTCCTCTTTCGCTTTCTCTCTCTCTCTCTATTTCTCTTTATCTTTCTCTTTCTCCTCCTCCTCCTGCTCCTGCTCCTGCTCCTCCTCTTCCTCTTGCTCTTCCTCTCTCTCTCTCTCTCTCTTTCTCTTAATCTTTCTCTTTCTCCTCCTCCTCCTCCTGCTCCTGCTCCTGCTCCTCCTGCTCCTCCTCTTCCTCCTCCTCCTCGCGAAGCTGACACGCTTCCCGGGATCCAGGGTGCAAGTGCGCAGGTCGGTGCGACCTGGCCCACTGCCCGCCGCCGCCCCTGCGCTCCTATCGCCAGCCGTCGAGGTGGGCGGGGTCTTAGCCGAGCGGTTAATGGCGTCCCGTCGCCAGCCATAGACACTGCAGCATATGCAGCATTGTTTCACTGATGTACTTTCCATTGCCCAGCTCTGTCCTTCCTCCCTACGTATTCCAATTGTGGAGCTCGTACGCGAATGGGCCGACTTGTCGTGCGCCCGCCTTCAGTCCGCTTCTTTGTGTGCTCCTCAAACTGCCTTGACGCCCGAGCATGTCTTTCGCGTTGCGTGCTACTTTGATTGTCCTGACCAGCCAAAAGTTGAATCAGGCTCGCAATCAAAACCAACACCTCGCTTCTCCTCTCTCCTGCTGTATCCTCGTCTGTCCTCCTCCTCCTCCTTCTCCTCCTCGTCCTCGCTCCCTCTCCTCATATTCCCTCCTCGTCCCTCCTCCCCCTCTTCCTCCTCCTTCTCCCTCATTCCTCCTCCCTTCTCCCTCTCATCCTCCCTCTCCTCTTCCTGCTCCTCCTTTCCTCCTTGCTCCCTCCTCATCCTGCCTCCCTCGCTCTCCCTCCCTCTCTCCCTCCCTCTCTCCCTCCCTCTCTCCCTCCCTCTCCCTCCCCCTCTCTCTCTCTCTCTTTCTCTCAGCCTCTGTCTCCGTCTCTCTCTGCCTCTCCGTCTCTCTGTCTCTCTGTCCCTCCTCGCCAGCATCGTCCCCCCTCCCTTCTGCTGCCCCCTTCCCCTCCTCTGCTGGGTCTGTGCGCGCCAGGCCGGCGCTGGCGCCGCGGACAGGGGGCGCGCCAGCCGCTGGACGGGCCGGGGGGACGCCGGGACGCCTCGGGAGGAGCAGAAGAGGAGGAGGGGGAAGGTAGGGAAGTGGAGGTGGAGGTGGAGGTGGAGGTGGAGGAGGAGGAGGAGGAGGAGGAGGGAGTGGATGATGAGGTGGAGGAGGAGGAGGAAGTGAATGATGAGGTGGAGGAGGAGGAAGTGGATGAGGAGGACGAGGATATGATAAGGGGGAAGGCGGAGAAGGAGTGGAATGGCGGATTATGAAGTGGAGGTGGAGGAGGTGGAGGAAGAGGAGGAGGAGGAGGAGGAGACAAGTGTAAATCCAAGACGCGCCAACGATGCTGCCATAAACCCTCCCTCCACGTTCTGTCTTCACAGGTCCCTGCAACGAGTGACTTTCATGGGGGTGCTCCGTTTGAATACAAACGTCTGAGAATCCTCAATCGTGCCAACACGCCATTCCTTGGACTCCAACGCCGCGAATAAGCTGTATTGTTGCGTCTTGAGGTTCTTACTCGTGCGAAAGCCATTGCAACGCCGCGGATCAACGTGATTGCTGCGCCCTGACAACCCTAAATCGTGCTGGAACACCATTGCTGGGACGGCCAGGCACAACAATCCGTCAAAACAGTTGTAAACTTTTACAACGCATGTGCGCGGCGCTCAGGCGACAACGAGATGATGAAAACGAGCCGCCTTCAATCCGTGAAACTTTTGCGAACTTTGGGGCGATGGTGCGCGGCGCTGAGACGAGAGAACAACATTTCTTGAACACCACCCACCCTCCATCCGCAAAACTCGAGCAAACGCTTACGACGAATGTGCGCGGCGCTGAAGCGAAATCACATTTAGGCAATGAGCCACCCTCTTTCCATGAAGTTCTCGCAAAGTTTCAGGCCGAATGCGCGCGGCGCTAAGGTGAGATCCACACTTTGAGGACGACCCGCCTTCCATCCCTGAGGCACTTGCGAACTCTGAAAACGAATACGCGCGGCTCTGAAAAGGAAACCACATGTTGAAAACCACCCGACCTCCAGCTGTGAACCTCTTGCAGCATTCCGAGGCGAATGCGCGCGGCGCTGAGGCGAGAACCACGTGTCGAGAACGACCCGCCCTCTATCCGTTCAGCCCCTGCACGCTCTTGCAACGAATGCGCGCGACGCCACAGCGTGAGGCTGTTCTAGCCGTTTACCAGGCGGCGCGCCCGGGGGGCAAACGAGACGGAACGGGCCTTCTCAGAAGGCCGGCCTCCTCAGGAGTTTTCTAAGCCTTCCCCGAAGACAAGACAAACTTCTCAGGAGGCGCGAGGGCTTCTGAGAAGTCCCGCCGCCTTCTGAGAAGGCCTGCTTCTCCTCGCTTCCCCCCCTCTTGCCGTCGCTCGGACGTCCATTTCCCGTGCATGTCTCGGTCTCGTGCGTTTTTTTTTGCTCGATGGTCCAGGATGGTCCTCGATGGTTCTCGCCGAGAAAAAATGCACACGTCCGAGCGATACCAAGCCCTCGCCGCCGATTTTGCGGCGAGCGTGCGCGGCGCCGCAGAGAAGGCGAGAGGGGCCCGCGGCGACAAGCGCGGCGCCCTCCGCCCGCGAATCGCCCGTGCAATCGTTGATGGCCGAGAGTGCGGCGCCAAGGCTTGAGCAGGGACCAACCGTCACGGCATTCCTATAGTCCTACCACGAGATGTTCTTAGAACCCCAAAAATGTTCTAAATAACGAACACAACGTTCTTATACCATAATCCCGATGTGTTCAAACGAGACAGGCTCCGCCAGAGACGTTCTAAGAACATCTCGTGGAGACCACAGAAGGTTCTCAGAACGTTCTTTGGTGGGGCTGTAGGCGAGCCAGGACGCTTCGCCACTGCTTGAAAGGCTAGAGTCAGGTCGGGCGTGTCCTCCTACAGTCGGGGCGCTGATCTAGGGAACCCCAAATAAGGAACGGGGCCCCTTTTCTCCAGGAGTTGAGTTTCGATGTCCCTTCGAAGCCCTAAGCAAGACCCAAGGCGAACTGCAAGACAACTGAGGAACACCGAGCCCCTCCCCAACGAAAAGGGATCATTCTTCAGCCCCCCGACTGTACAGGCGGGTTTTGGACGACAAACGTATCATACTCGACAAATAAACCATTATACTCTTAGATAGTAGAAAATTCGTTCCCCCATTATTTTTGTCTATTTTTGAATCTTCCTCCTGTAGAGGGACACGCCCGACTTAAAGCGAGAACCACATTTAAAAAACCATTCGCTCTCCATCCGTGAACCTCTTTAAAACTTTTACGACGGATGGGTGCGGCGCTGATACGAGGAACCACACTTTGAAATCCGTCCACCCTCCATCAGCGAAGCTCCTGCAAACCCTGAACTCCATGATCAGAAAGGGTGAGGAGGCCTCAAGCGAAACGCCGGGCCCGCCTTATCGACACGTCGCGGGGGGCGACAGGGAGGAGTGATTCATAAGGAACAGGGATGGAGGAGGGGGCGGAAGATAATGTCTTTTTTGCCTGCGAAGCCAACTGCTGTGCCATCCGTGGGGCCTGAGAGAGAGAGAGAGAGAGAGAGAAAGCCCACAACCACAAAAGGGCAGAGAGCGCAGCGACATCCTCTGACTGGAGGGGGAGGGGGAGGAGCTCTCGAACCAGGAGCAGGGACAAGGAACATAGGATCAGGAGGAGCAGCAACAGCAGCAGCAGCAGGAGTGGGAGGACGATAAGGACGAGGCGGGTGATGATGAGGAGGACTCATAAGACCTGTTGCTACCATGGCCCGCCGTGTTAGAGGTATGTCGAGGCTGATGGCCTGGACCCACACGCTCAACAAAGACGAGGCCAGAATCGGGACAAAATCGAGCCGGGGGAAATCAGGGATCTCTGAGAACCAGCGGGCCTGGAGGACTGGCGGCGAGCGAGGGGGGGAGTGGAGACGGATAAGGCCCTCTCACAAGGCGGCGGGGCTTCTCAGAAGCCCGCCTGGTCTTCCGATCAGTTCTCTGTGTCTTCGGGGGAGGCCCCGAAGACTTCTCAGAAGGCCGCGGGACTTCGGGACCCTCCGAAAAAGGCCTTCTCCGCCCCCTCCTTCTCACTTCCCCCCTCGCTCGCCGCCGAGGGGATGCATCGGGCTACGCTTGAGTCGGGCCTGTCCCCCTACAGGGGGATTTTGGGACGAAAAGTAAAAAAGAATACTCAACAGAAGTACTCCCGAACTGCTCAAAAATTGTCAAAATTCCCCAGACTATTTTTTGGACTATTTTTGAATCTTCCCCCTGTAGGGGGACAGGCCCGGCTTAAGGCCTTCTCCGCCTTCTCCTTCTCACTTCCCCCCCTCTGGCCATCGCCCGGACGTTCCTTCCTTGTGCTCTTGTTCGGTTTCGTGCGTGGTTTTCTTCGCAGGAGGATCCGGGATGCTCCTTAATAGTCCCCGCCGAGAAAAAGTACACACGTCCGAGCGATACCCAGCCCTCGCTCGCCGCCGAGGGGATGCATCGGGCTGCGCGGCCGCTGCAGCGCGCTCTGGTTTACCAGCCTCGAACGTATCCCTATCCCTAAGATTGACACGCCAAAAGGCGATGACAGTCTTAGGGATTCGCCCTCAAAAAATAAGGGAATCCCTAAGATTGGCATCGTGATGAGGAGGTGCCCAGCATAGGGATAGGGATATGTTCCAGGCTGGTAACCTTAATAATCCCCGCTGAGGAAAAGTGCACACGTCCGAGAGATACCCAGCCCTCGCTCGCCGTCGAGGGGATGCATCGGGCTGCGCGGCCGCTGCAGAGCGCTCAGCCTCGCCATCGCTCGGACGTCCATGTCCTGTGTTTTTGTTCGGTTTCGCGCGTGGCTTTCTCGCCAAATGATCAAGGATGCTCCTCGATGGTTCTCGCCGAGAAAAAAAATGCACACGTCCGAGCGATGCCAGGGCTCTGGTGCTCGCCGGAGCCAGTGCTCGGCCAACTCGTGGCCCCCAGGCGGCTCCCAAAAGCGTGCCCGCGCCTCGACGCTCGGCGCTCCGCGGCCAGCGTGCGCAGGCCGTGCCTCAAGTCGGGCCTGTCCCCCTACAGGGGGGTTTCGGGCGAAGGATAAAAAATGCTCCAAACATAACCCCAAATGGTCAACAAATAAACAGAAAGTCGTCCCCAGACTAGTTTGACTATTTTGGAATTTCCTCCCTGTAGAGGGACAGGCCCGACGTAAGTCTTGCCTCTGCGCTCGCCAGTGCGGTGCCGATCTTTTTGTTGTCCCTGGAGGGGGGCGAGGGGACCCGACCACAACGCGTCACCCGACTTGGCCCCGACCGCTGTGCGAATCTCGGGGGCGGCCAAGAAGGGGGCGTGCAAGAGGGGGGGGGCGCAACTCATGACCGGCAGCATGTGCGCGGCCCAGGGGGGGTGGGCCAGGGACGTAGTGAAATCAGAAGAGGTGCCATGAAATCAAAGGAAATATCATGGCCCACGTCGTGATAGCCCCCCACCCCCTAGTCGTCACCCCCCTCTTGGCCGCCCCCGAGCTGTGCGAATCAAAAACGGCCGCCAGGCAGACCGGGAACACCACGCGAGCCGACCTGCGAGAGGCAAGCTCAAACGCCGAGCCGTGGCCTGAAAGAGAGTGGCGCGCGTGCGGCGTGCCGTGCTCTGGAACGCTCTGGGGCAGGGCTCGGCCGAAGCGCATTTGTTCCCGCTTTCGTGCTGTTTCGTCTTCTCTGGTCAATGTTTTCTGAGTCAGCGCTTCGACATTGGGCGGAAGGGAGGGGAAAGGGGGGGGTCTGGCTCCCGACCTCCTGCTTAGTGCGACTGTTTGGAACCGTGCGTCCTCTGGGGGGCGACTCTACCTGCTTGAAACAGGCGACCAAAACTGCCAAGATCTACTCCATGGGAGAGGGGGAGGGGGGGGTGCGAAGGCCCGCGCAGATCGGCAAAACAATCAGAAAACGACGACCTTGTTCTGCCTTCGTTCCGCCTTTGCTGCAACCTGATCGGACAAGAACGGGAAGATCCGCTTTCGTCCAATGGGCTTGATGGGCGAAGAAGAAAAGGAAGGCGAGGGCGACGAGGAGATGACGAGGACGGAGCGGAGAACGTGAGGATAGTGAGGAGGATCTATCTTCGTTCCCCCTTTGCTGCAAGACGAAGTCAACACGAAAACGGTCCACGAGATCGCGATAAAACCGTTTAGGCTTAGGCCGGGCATGTCCTCCTACAGGCGGATTCTGGAGACAAGTGAAAAGTGGTCAAACGAGTACTGCAGCAAGGTCAAGTCAAAACATCGTTCCCAGACTAGTTTTTAGTTATTGTGGAATATTCCTCCTGCAGATTGTGTCTTTTTTGTTTTTGGAATGTTGGTCCTGTTTTTGGAATATTCTGGAATCTGCCTTATGTTTGAGGGCCTCGTGTTTGGGCTTTTCCTCCTCATAGTTTGAACCATTCCTCCCGCTTCTGGTTTTTGGAACATGTCTGGACATGCCCGACTCAAGGTTAGGTCGAGCCCTGCCCTGGGACACTGCATCCTGGCCCTTGGCCTGCCCAGCGCCCTCCCCTCCCCAACCACCCCTCCAGACGCGGGGGGGGGGAGGGGCGGCGCGCACAAGCGGGATCGGGGCTCGAGGAGGAGGGCCGAGGACCCAGGAGTGTCCAGGGGCGTCGGGGATCGAGGAGGAGGGTCGAGGATCGCGGATCGAGGACGCAGTAGCTCGCTCTCATAGGGTCGGTCGAGTAGCTCACTGCACTCTGAGGCCCGTGACGCCTGGATCGAGGAGGGGGCAGAGGAAGGAGCAGCGAGGGGCAACCACGGGCAGCAACCGCGCAGCACCACCGCTCGGAGGGCGGTGCTGCCTTGTGGTCGTGCCGTGAGCCACGTAGGCCACGTGGCGGTCCATCACCACTATCGGACCGGGGTGGTCCTCCTGCTCCTCCTCGTGGTCCTCCTGGTCCTCCAGATCTTCCTCCTTCTCTTGCTCTTCCGCCTCCTCCTCCTCCCCCGCTCCTCCTCCTCCTCCTGCTCCTCCTCCTGCTCCTCCTCCTCCTCCTGCTCCTCCTCCTCCTGCTCCTCCTGCTCCTCCTCCTCCTGCTCCTCCTCCTCCTGCTCCTCCTCCTCCTCCTCCTGTCCTCCTCCTGTCCTCCTCCTCGTGGGGCCATCATCCGCATCATCGCCATCGGACCGAGGTCGATCTCGAGCAGCCGCGGCGGCGGGGCGCGGCAGGCGCCTGGCGGGCCGGACGCCGCCGCGGGCCCACTCGGAGCGCCGCTGTCCTGCAAGACCTGCACCCGGGAGAGAGGGAGAGAGAGAGAGAGAGAGAGAGCGAGAGAGAGAGAGAGAGGGAGAGAGGGAGAGAGAGAGAGAGAAAGAGCAAGAGAGAAAGAGAGAGAGAAAGAGCGTAGGAGGGCCACGCCACGAGGGCGACGACGAGGAGAGAGATAAGAAAAGAGGAGAGGCGCAGTGGGCGCGTGAGAACCAGTGCAGACACGGGAACGGAAAGAGCGCTTCAGGAAGTTGCCCGAGAGGGCTTGTGACACCGTTCGCTCCTGGGAGCCTCGGCGTGATTAGTTTTTCCTTTTTAGCGTTTTCGCGTCATCGCTCGCTCTCGGGAGTCTTGGCGTGAAGAGCTTTTTACGTCACCGTTCGCTCTTGGGAGCCTCGGTGTGAAGAGTTGTGTACGTCACCGTTCACTCATGGATGCATCACCGTTCGCTCTTGGGAGCCTTGCCGTTTAGAGCTGGTCGCGCCACCGTTCGCTCTTGGGAGCCTGGGTGCTCAGAACTTTCCGCCCCACTGCTCGCTCTTGGGACCCTTGGCATTCAAAGATTTTTACATCACCGACTCGTGTGCGAAAGGCGTTCCAATCACCTGGTGCTTTTGGAAACCTTGCCGTCGAAGCAACGTCCGTCATTGGGCCGTCCAGGGGGGGTGGTCCACTGGGCGCTCTTTTGGGTGTCTTGGGGCCCTCTTGGGGCCGTTCTGAGGACCTCTTGAGCCGTCTCGGCAGGCTTGGCCCGTCTTGGGGCCCTCTTGGGGCTCTCTTCGGCCCTCTCGGGGGCCTCCTGCGGCACTCTCGGGGCTCTCTTCGGAACCTCTTGGGTTGTGGATGCCACGATAACGGACACCCTAACAGTCCCATCATCGAACTCAACATGTGTTTAAACTGTAGGAAAATGTACTGAACATGCTTAAAACATGTTTATGCCGTGTTTTTGGGCCCCGCCCTCCTCTCTGGCCACCTGAGGCCCCGCCCGCCTGTGCCCTGTCTCCCTAATTAGAGCTGTGCGTAGCCCGCCTAGCTTTCAGCGGAAGAGGTTCGCTCTCGCCCCGCCGACCAACAAAAATGTTTATGACGTGTTTACAACAAGTTTAGCACATGTTGTAGACTTCTGGAATTATTTGGCAACATGCTTCCTCTCCATTGATCGTCCTCTATTGGGGCACTGCTGGGCCTCTCCAGGCCGTCTTGCGGCTCTCTGTGGCCGTCCTCGGGCCCCCGTACACCGTCTTGGGGGCTCTCTCGGGAACCTCCTGGGCCGTCTTGGGGCAGCCTCGGAGGCCCTCAGAACCGTCTTCGGCCGATCTCGGGCGTGTCCCCCTACAGGGGGATTTGCGGCGAAATATTCAACATACCCAAACAATACTCAAATGATGCCCAACAATACTCCAAACATAGTCCCCATAGTATGTTTTTTTTTGTGTGTGTGTGTGTGTTTGTGTGTGAGAGAGACTATTTTTGAATATTCCCCCTATAGAGGGACAGTCCCGACTTAAATCTAGGCTCGAAACGATGCCTCCCACCCGTCTGCTCCCCATTGGTTCCACGGGCGGGGTCTGCCACATTTCCTCGACCACGGCGCTGCTACCACCTGTGTGGAACACTGGAATGAAGCAGTACAGTCGGCCTTCATTGGACAGGACACGCGAGAGGACACAAGACCCTTCCGAGGGCCACATCGCCCTAGGAGTGTGAGAAGGCACGTGTCACGTGTCGCGAGGCGCAGGACACAAGGGTACCCTCGAGCTGGCAGGGTCGACCTGCTAGTCCGGGCCCACTGTAGACAGGCAGCCAGGCGACGAGGGAATGGATCCCCTCGGGGGCCGAGGCGGCCCCCGCCCGCTGCAGTCGAAATGGCCCCGCTCGCCTCCCTGCTAGCCGTGCGCTCTGCCGCCCCGACCGGTCGGCCGCGATCGCAGCGGCAGCCAAGGCTTCCCCCCCCTGCGCCTCGCGCAACGGTCCCGCCTGTGCGTGCGACGGTGCGTCGCTCCTGGACAAACCTGGCATCCTGGCCCGCGCAGCCCCGCCGTGCCCCCGGCAGCGAAGGGGCCGACGATGGCCTTCTCGGGAGCGGCCAAATAAGGGGGTAGTCCGAGAGGGGGGGGGGTGCAAATCATGACCGGCGGCATGTGCGCGGCCCAGCGGGGGGGCCAGGGACGTGATGAAATGAGAAGAGGCGCCATAAAATCTGGGGAAATATCATGGCCCCCGCCATGTTACCAGGGACGTGATGAAATAAGAAGAGGCGCCATAAAATCTGGGGAAATATCATGGCCCCCGCCATGTTACCCCCCCTTAGTCATCACCCCCCTCTTTGCCGCCCCCGACCTTCGTGCCATCGCCGCGAACCTGGTGGACCGCAGGCGGGCCCCGACGACAGACCCAGGTTCCAGTGTTAGGTCGGGCAGGTCCTTCTACAGGCGGACCTTGGCAGAACTCTAAGAAATAGCCAAAACATGCGCCGCCATGGTCAAGAAAGACTCGAAACATCCACAGACTTTTACGTTGCTATGTTTGAATGTTCCTCCTGTAGAGGGACGTGCCCGACTTCATTCCAGCGCCGTGGAAGGCGCCCTGGATGCGCTTGGACCAAGTTCGAGCCCCCCTGGAGGTGGTGCTGCGAGCTGCGCCAGAAGGTTGAAGGGGCTCTGGGACACACAAATAAACAGACACAAATATCAGGATTCCCTATAGTTTCCCGTATTTTCTCGGTTTTTGTCTTCCCCCCCCCCACTTCCCATATTTTCCTACATTTTCTGGGGAATCGACGATTCATTGTGTCTGTGTTTTTTTCCCCCGTCCTGGAAGGTGCGAGCCGCGCAGGTGCCGATGCGGAGGTCAGGCGGGCGTGGCCGCAGACCGACGGCGGACCCCTGGGCGACTGCGGTTTCGGCGAGCGACGGGCCAGCCACCTTCGCAGCCAAGTTCCCCTCCTCCTCCTCCTCCTCCTCCTTCTACTCCTTCTACTCCTTCTACTCCTTCTACTCCTCCTCCTCCTCCTCCTCCTGCCCCTCCTGCCCCTCCCAACCCCTGGCGCCGTCCCGCTCCCGGGCCGGTGGCCCAGCATCGTGCAGGGGGAAAAGGAAAGCGGCTCCTGCAGGCATTCGTGACCGAGCAGCGCGGGCTCGCCTGGCGCCGACCGATGGTGGCACCGCCGGTGCCAGGGCCACGCTCCGCCGTCGGCGGGTCTCTGCCCTCGACACCTGCGTCCAGAAGTGCGACCCAGAGAACCCGCGCATGCGGTGCGCGAGCACGGGCTCGCACAGGCCCTGGCGCAGCACGAGCGGGGCACAGACGAGTGCAGCATCATCTCCCTCAAGACGACCACGCGGTCGACTGGCCCAAGGAGCAAGCTGGTTTCGCCCCCATCTGCGTGTCACACAGATCCCCAGTCACTGCCCACGTCGCGGACATGATGGTGGAGTGGCCGCCCGCGCAGGCGCTACCCAGTGAAGACTATGATCGCAAGGTCCGACTCCAGGTGGGGTGCTTTCCACCCCGACAGCACCACCGCCACAAAGCCCAAGAGACCAAACGATCCTTGGTACCGCATTGACCACACCCCGCCGCAGATGCAGATGAATCGCATGTGGACTGCCATCCAGGAGGTCTTCCTGTCCAGTAACCACCTACGCCCTGGCCCTGCGCTCGGACGACGCGGGGAACTGAGAGGCTTCCACCTCTGCGGCGCACATGGCCAGGGCGGGGACAGCATTGAGACAGCAAGCGGCAGCCACGCTGGCAGAGGCGATACCTGTGTCAGACGACCCACAGGCGCCCAACACCCGTCCCAGCGGACCGGGGCCCAGCGACGAGGAGGTCGAAGCTTGCACAGGGCACGTCTTTGAGAGGATCCTCCCAGCCCCTGCGCGCACCAGGGTTCATGATGTGGCCATAAGGTACCAGCTCAACACGGCTCAAACCGTGGTCCTCGCGCAGTCGCGGCAGGCTATGGTCCTCCTGGTGCACGGACCGCCTGGCGCAGGCAAGACTGGGACGATCGCCGCAGTGCTGGACATGTGGTCGCCCTGTGCCCCTCCAGGTTGGGCAATCGCCCTCTTTGCAGGATCCGACAAGGCGGCGGACATGCCCGCCAAATACTTGCCCGAGGCGAAAGGAGCTGGCCGCCTGGATGAAGCTAATTACCAAATTCCCAGAGGCCGCTGTGCGGATAGCAGGGGGGGACCGTGTAACCTGTCCAGAAGCCTTGGACTTGACCCTGGCCCAGAAACTCAAAGCAACGTGCGGGTACCATCCGTTTGATCCTGGTTGCGGCACCAAGACCTTCAACAGATGCAAGTGGGACCTCCTGGACAGCGCCAGGCTGGTCCTGGCCACGCACGAGCCAGCCGCCGACCTGGACGCCGACGATAGCCCAAACATTATGCTGGGAATCCTGGACGACGCTGGGCCAGTCTACCGAGGCCCTGGTAATCTTTTCACTGATGCTCCTTGCAAATTTTCGGGCGGGCGCGTCCTGCGAGACAGCTGTGCCCCACCGTGGTTTCCGAGCGAGCGGCCGCCGTGGGACTCACAATCTCGATGATGGAGAGCTTCCACGACTCGCTCGATCCGAGCTCTGACCACAACGTTTTCCTGGAGAGATGCTACCGCGTGCGCCCGAGTATCCTTCAGTGGGCCTCTCGCTGCTTCTGCGGGGACAAGCTAGCCAGTCTGAAGAGTCGAAGTGCTTCGCTTGTAAACACAATAGAACACATGCGAACATGGTGCATTTGAACAGAGCGAGAGGGGGATTCCACTCGAGGTAATGTCAGGGGAGGGAGGAGGGTAGTTTTCACAACCAGTAGCTGTTGAGCGCAGAGGGAGGGGGTTGGCCTGACAAGGACCAGCCGCACGCGTACTGGCCAGAGGATTGAGCGCAGAGGGAGGGGGGGATGGGAGATTGGGCAGGGGGGGGCGGGCGAGGGAGGGGGCGAGGGAGGGGGGAGGGAGACGGGCGTGTGGTGGGGGCGACGACGGGGAAGCCCCCCCCTACAAGACACGAGCCCTCGATCGAACCTCGAAGCTCGATCGGCGCCGACGCCAGCGACGGCGACGACGACGACGACGAGAGCAATAACGTCAATGAGGGGCAACGATAGGGGGGACTGGCATAGGGGGGGATGCATCGACCTGGAATCGGCGATGTATCGCCGATGGATCGGCGATAGGCCTCCGATAGTGAATCCGCACCTTGCTGGGCAGGTTGGGCCCCTATCGGCGATCAATGGGCGATTGGGGGCCGATGCATCCCCCCTTGTTCCTACAGTCAAAACGTATACTAAGGACGGGTGATAAGGACGCAAGACCCTTGGAGGCCGAAGTTGGGTTTTTTGGGGCGGCGGGCGACCAGTGATAATGGCAAGGACGAGCCTCAGAGGCAAGGACACAAGGGTACCCTAGATGATGGCGCGCGTCCTTACTGGGCGCGTTGACTGTATTCCCCCTATATCGCTGCCCCTGAGCGAACGAGGGGAAGACCCGATCAGGGAGACGCGCCGACCTGGAAGTTTTGGACGCCCGAGATGGGCACGGAAAAAATGGGTACACTGCCCAACAACAAATGTTGTCCCGAACCAACAGCGGCCGCTGTTGGGCAGGCGGCCTTCTGTCTCGAATGGACACAGGCCGCGGCGACGCCGACAGCGAGTCGTGTTCAACATGAACAGGAACTGCTGTTGGGCATTGCACCCATTCTTTCCGTACTCCAGATTTCGTAATAAAGGGAGGGGGGTCTCATTTCGGGGGGGGGGGTCTCTTCCAGGCTATCTTGGAGGGCCTGGGGGGGGGGTGGGGACGATGTTCTGGAGGGTTCTCCCACGGGGGAGGCCTGAAATGGCTTGTCTTGGAGGGTCCAGACCCCCTCCCTTTTATCACGAAATCTGGAGTACCCATGCCCTTCGTGCCCTCCTCCTCCTCCCCCTCCTCCTCCTCCTCCTCCTCCCCCTCCTCCTCCTCCTCCTCCTCCTCCTCCTCCTCCTCCTCGCCCTTCGTGGCCGAGAAGTGGCGATACGTCGCCGCCCGGCCGGCGATCGGCCCCGACTGGCGCCCCCCCTCTCCCACGCTCCCCCGGGGCGGCCTGGGGCCTGCGGCGCCCCCCCCGCCGGCGAGGCGCGGGCGACCGGGGGTCGACGCGTTTTCCCTCCCCCCCCCCAGACCTCTTCGCGTCGTGAAAAAATCACGACGGGAGGTTTTTCGCTATTTTCGGCCTCCGGGGGCCCTCACCGGGCCTCGGGGCCGTCAAAAAACGACTCAGGACGAAGAACTGGTCCCAGGGAAGGGGTCCAGACCTCTGGGGGTCGACGTCGTGAAAAAATCACGACGTCGGGGGTCTGGGCCCAGAGCCTGCCCCCCTCCCCGGGGGCTTTCGCGGTGGAGGGGGCCCAGGGACGCCCGGATGGATGCACACACGAAGGCCAGGACTCTCCCCGCCTTTTCTCCCGCACGTTCTGGACCCTCCGTCTCCCCCCCCCCCCACTTCCCAAGTGATCCCCCATACTTTCTCGGAAGGCGACGTATTGTATTGTGTCTGACGAACCAACAACACACACCCATACCCACAGCGGGGTTGGAAGGGCTATGGGTGCGTGTTGTTGGATGGGGGTCCCCGCTCGAACGGGAGCGTTCCCTAGGGTCCGACAACCCGCACCCATACCCATAGCCAGTCCTCCTCCCAACGACCCCCTTATGGGTATGGGTGCGTGTTGTTCGTTCGTCATGTGCCAGTGTGGCCTCCCCCCCTCCCCCGAGCGGCACAGCTCGGCCCTCCGGCGACCGCTCGAGGACGGCCCGGGCACCCGCGGAACCAGCAGTCTCGGCGAGGCGCGGAGCCGCCGGAGGGAGCGCCCCGAGGCTGGAGCACCGCCGAGGTCCGAGGAGCACGCCCGAGAAGCCCGAGCGGGAGCAGGAGATAAGCGGCACCACCCCACCTGAAGTCTCGGGCGTGCCCCTACACAGGAGGGATCCGCCGGCCCCCTTGTGGGGCCACCAGGCTGTAGGCGCGGGTTCGCAGTTTACTGTACCAGTTGTAGCTTGTAGTTTCCAGTGTTACAGTTCTGCTTCTTGCTGGTTACTGTAACTAGTTGATTGACCGCGCGAGGGGGGGGAGGCCCAAACAAGATATTTAGCACCTCCTGGGCGCGTTGTCTGAATTGCTGGGGGGGCTCGAAATCGACACCCCTCACACAGATCGGCGGGGTCAGGGTCCAAAAACACATGGGATTTGCCACATTTCTGAAATTCGGTGCCACCCCTCACGCAGATCCGCGGGGTCAGGGTCCAAAAACACAGGATTTGCCACATTTCTGAAATTCGGTGCCACCCCTCACGCAGATCCGCGGGGTCAGGGTCCAAAAACACAGGGGATTTGCCACATTTCTGAAATTCGGTGCCACCCCTCACGCAGATCCGCGGGGTCAGGGTCCAAAAACACAGGGATTTGCCACATTTCTGAAATTCGGTGCCACCCCTCACGCAGATCCGCGGGGTCAGGGTCCAAAAACACAGGGATTTGCCACATTTCTGAAATTCGGTGCCACCCCTCACGCAGATCCGCGGGGTCAGGGTCCAAAAACATAGGGGATTTGCCACATTTCTGAAATTCGGCGCCACCCCTTACGCAGATCCGCGGGGTCAGGGTCCAAAAACACATGGTATTTGGCACATTTCTGAAATTCGGTGCCACCCTTCACGCACATCCATCGCAAGGCGTGGTAACCCAAACTGCGAGAACTCCCTCGGCCCTTCAATCGCAAGGTGTGGTACCAAGCCCGTAAACCATACACGTCTTACCAATCGCCAGGTGTGGTAACCCCTCTTGTGATCAGTTGGTTTTGCTGATTGCGAATCGGCTTCGCATGAAGTTTCGATACTGCTTCACGACAGCACCAAGGCCTCATGACTTAGCTCTTCCATGGCCCATTCTCCGAGAGAGGGGGCCGGCGGCAGGGGGCGAAGACTTTACGGATTATAACCAAAAACAGGTTTTTAAAAAGTAGTCTGGGGACGATGCATCGACCCTTTTTGGTGTATTTGCGAGCGCATGATGTGACCATGTTTTCTCTCTTCGTCCAACATCCGCGTGTAGGAGGACATGCCGCATGTCCCTATACAGGAGGGATAACCCAAAACAGGTTTTAAAAAGTAGCCTGGGGACGATGCATCGACTCTTTTGGTCTATTTGCGCGCGCATGTTGGGACCATCTTTTCTCTCTTCGTCCAACATCCGCGTGCAGGAGGACATGCCCGACCTAACCCCACCTGCGGCCCCACGGGGCTCGGCGCATGCCCGGAAGTCTGGCGTGGGCTTCTGCGTGGTGGGCGCTGCGGCCCCCGACGGGCCGCAGCGCAACAACGGAGGGCCGCAGGCGGGACGGTGTCGTTCGTGTGCTTCGGTCGACGAGCTTCGATCCCGTCGCTCCCCCTTGCGCCGAGCCCCCCCTGACGCTCCCCCCGATGTGGAGGGGGCGACGGGGCGCTGGCCTGAGATCGGGTATGTGCCCCTATAGGCGGATTTTGGGCGAAACATAGAGCATGGTCAAACATACTCAAACATAGCCAAAACTAATAGGGACATCGCCCCCAAACAATTTGCTGGCCATTCGTCGCTATGTTTGAATAGTCCTCCTGTACAGTCGGGCTGCTCAAAGAAAAGAAGGAACGATAAACCAGGAATGAAGCCCCGTTTCGGCCCCACAAGCGCCTGCGTGCACGAGGAAGGCTAGAGGAACAGCCATAGAAGGACCCAAGGAATATCGAGCCCCTTTCTTACCCAAACTGCTCCTTCTCTCAGCGGCTTGGCTGCAGAGGGACAGGCCAAACTTTAACGCTGGCGGAGACCTTCTGTACGGCCGCCACCACGCCGTGCAGGCTGTCCTTGAGGCCGACGGGCACGGCGCCCGCCTGCGCCCGCCGCTGCCGCGTCCGCCTCCTGCCTCCTCGCCGTCCTCGCTTTAGCGTCGCGCGCATTCGTCTTACAAGTCTGCAGTAAGCTCGAGGATCCTTATGGTTGACGTCCCCGGAATGGTGCTCCGACGCTATTCAGGATTGCCAGGGCGCAACTATAATAATAATTCCTGCGCTCCTCCCCTTTGGGGGGTTGTCGAACCCGCCCAGGAGGGGGCGGTTCGAACCGCCCCCCCCTGTCCGGGGGGGGGGGGAGGGAGTTCGAACTGACCCCCCCTTCCCCCGCCCCCTTCCCCCGTCATAGATTCCTACGAAGGCTCGATCTTGTTCCAGTAGAATCCTACTGTATCTGGATCCAGCTCTAGCTGACTCTTGTTGCTTTAGGTGGATGCAGCTCTGCTGGGACACGACCCAACTCTACGATCATCCAGCTACTGCTGCATTCAACTTTACTAAACCCTAGTCGGACGGAATCCTAATCTGATAGAATCCTGTTGCAGTTGGTTCCAAATATTACTGGATCCTACTGAAAATCGATCCATCTCTTAGCCTAGTATAGCCTGACACAAATTTGATAGCATCCTAGTCGGGCCCGACCCGGCTCTAACACAGTCCTACAATAGCTGGATCCAGCTAGACTTGAATCCTACTGTGGCTTGGTCCAGCTCTAATAGCAAGATCCAGATCTAAGTGATTCCTGCCAATGCCCGCTCGATCCAGCCCCAACGTAATCTTACCAGGGCTCCACCCAGCCCTAAAAACAGCCTGGTGGGGATCGATCGGCGTCGGCGTCGGCGTCGTCGCCGTCGCCGTTGTCATTGTCGGCGTCGTCCTC